GGGGGAAAGCAGACTCCAGTAATCCATTGGCCATGGAACCCCCACCAGAACTGCGTAAGAAACTCAAACTTCAGCCCAGTGAAGTCTGTGAACTAGTAGGCAACGCCTACGGACGGGTAGATGCTCCACTCCTCTTCTATAAGGAACTGACCAAACATCTCCACGAATTGGGCTTCCAAACACACCCCCTTGAACCTTGCATGCACTACTTGGTTTCAGGAAACGGCAATCAGTTTCGCCTCCATGGAGTTCTAGGGACCCATGTAGATGATGGTCTAGGTGGAGGAGATCAGATATATCAACAGAAGATTCGAGAGTTAGAGAAAAGACTTCCTTTTGGATCCTTCAAAGAACGAAAATTCAAGTTCACCGGCATCGACTTGGAACAGCAGCCAGACGGCTCCATATCGGCCACGCAAGAAAGCTATGTGCACAGCATTCTTGCCATCGACGTTGGAAAACAACGTCGTGAACAGCTCCAGTCAGCCCTGACTGAAACAGAACTTTCAAAGTTGCGAGGATTAATCGGAAGCCTTCAATATGCCGTAACACACACAAGACCCGATATTGCATCTCGACTAGGAGAAGTTCAATGCCAGATAGCCCAACCAACTGTAGCAACACTCCTACAAGCCAATAAGGTTTTGAGAGAAGCCCAAGAACACAGTGACACTAAGATTTGGTATCGAGCTATTCCAGTAAAAGACATCACACACATCTCTTTTGGAGATGCATCATTTGCCAGTCCTAAGAACATGAATTCTTTCCAGGGTCCCATCATCTGTGCCACGTCAACAGAACTGGATCAAAATCGTCAAGCACCATTGTCACCACTCACCTGGTCTTCTAAGAAGATTTCACGTGTTGTGCGTTCAACATTGTCCGCTGAGGCGTTTTCCATGAGTCAAAGCGTTGACCGACTAAGTTGGGCACGGCTACTTTGGGGTTGTCTCGTAATTGATGAGTTCAACTGGAGAAATCCCTCCCAAGGGTTCAAGCAGATGAACCAAGCCATTATCACCACGGATTGCCGATCCCTTTTTGACTTGGTCACAAGAAATGCAATTCCGTCCTGTGAAGAATTTCGCACGACCTTGGAAGTTTTGTTGATTCGTGAGCGCTGCGCCGAACATGTTCATTTCAGGTGGATTCCTACCACCCTGATGATCGCTGATCCTCTGACCAAAGTAATGGACAGCAGTCTGTTACGAACCACTCTTCGTTCAGGAACCTTTAGGATCTTCGACGAGGCAGCAGTACTCCGATACAATGCCCATCGCAAACAAGCCTTGAAGTGGTTGCAAGAGAACCGATCCTCCTCCCATTAGTTTATTTCATTTGTTTAGATTTCGGGGAGTGTGAAACATGTCATGTCCGAGACATGTCCACCAGATCGAAGGTCGGAGGACTCAGGACTCACGCCGCCTGCCATAAAGGCTCGAGGCGGGACGGGATCGGGAGCCTGTGTCTTGGAGGAAAAGGCACGAGCCATAGCGGCGAGGCGGCTGCTGGTGGACCTTGGGAAGGTCCTGGAGGTTGCGTTGTGTCCTTTGACAGGGTCATTGGTTGTTGCATCTTTCATAGAAGCAGGGCTTCTTTCTTGGAACGGTGTTCCTTTCTTGGTGAGGGTCCGCTACCAATTTCACATTGGTAGCGGAGCCCAGTGCTCCTAAGAGTGGGATCCAGGGCTACATTGCACTTCAACTCCGCCGTTGTGTGGACTTGCTTGTGAACGGACTTCCGGACGTGTCTCGATCTTGCAACGCCCGAATCACCGGACACGACGTGCAGCGTTTAATCTTGCAGACCGCCACTTGTCTTGATAGGTTGGCCTTTTACATTGAGCATTGTGGGACATTGCTTGGTGTTGTGATTTTGACATTGAACCGTGGACAAATCTTGACATTGTACAAGTCGAGCAATTGTACATTGTGGTTGACTGCAGGTTGGACATTGGTCGATTGCGTGCTGAGTTGACTTGACATTGAGCATTGCAGGGCATTGCATTTTTGTTGAGTTGGGTTGATTCACCATGCCTCCTCCGGCTGATGCTTCACACATCCCTGTTCCAGAAGAGGCCACGAGCAGTGTTGCGGGGACAACATCCCTGCCGTGGTCTAGTATCCCAAAGTTCATTCCTGGAACGACCAACGTCCAGGAATATACTCAGAAGATGAAATTCATCGCCAACATTTGGCCAACTGAGCATTTAGAAGCTCTTGCTCCACGTGCCGCCCTGATGGTCGAAGGGGCGGCTTTCCACAAGGTCATGAGGATTCCTGCCGAGAAACTCAAGGTCAAGACGGTCGATGGCGTGATCGCTTTGGTCGAGGCTCTTGGAGGGTCATGGGGAATGACCATGCTGGAGGAGCAATACGATGCTTTTGAACGTGCTCTGTATGGCACCTTGCAGAAGAGCGACGAGTCACATGACTCGTACCTCGCTCGAAGCGAGGTACACTTTGAAGACTTGTTGGCCCGCGGAACGACCTTGGAAGAGATTCGAGCGTATGTTCTCCTTCGGCAGTCGACATTGTCTCCGGAGGATCGCAAGAAGATCGTGCTCGACCAGGGTGGACAGCTCAAGTACGCTGAGGTCACCAAGGCATTTCGCCTTTTGGGCAGCCGATTCTTTCAGGATCTTCAAGGCTCCAAGGTCACAAAGACCAAAGTTTACGATGCTCACCTGACCGAATGTGACAGCGAACCGGCCTTTGCTGCCTCTCAAGAGTTGGAATCCGGGGTATCGCATCCGGCGTCTTCGACGGAAGCACTCACATTCTTGACTGCGTTGGACGATCCAGATCTTGAAGGAGAGTTTATTGAAGCCATGATCGCCCAGAACGATGAGGACGCCCAAGCAGTACAACAGTTCGAACATGAACTGGAAGAGTTTCTGCAGGACGCCCCTACAATGCATGAAGCATTGGTGACATACATGGATGCGAGATCACGACTTCAAGACAAACGGAAGACCCGAGGATTCTGGCCAGTTCAGAGCTCCTTTTCACATGCCTCCAAAGGAGGCAAGAAAGGCAAATCTGGCAAGGGAGGTGGAAAGGGCAAGAGGCGTGAACAGCTTCTTGCTCGGATTGCTCGCTCACATTGCAGGGCGTGTGGTGAGAAAGGGCATTGGCGTGCTGAGTGTCCAAACAAGACATCCGGATCATCTCAGTCATGCGAAAGCGCAAATCTGGCCGAAGCTCCATTGACCGGAGATCTCCAGACCATCCCCGAGAGTGATGGTGTGCTGGATGACGACATCCTGGAGGTCTTCTCAGATGATTCTCAGGCCAGTCATGTACCAACCATGGGGCTATCGGTAATTGGAAGGGGTAGTAAAGCTTTTGAGGGTAATAATCCCGGGGATTATGCAACAGCTTTCGTTCTTCAATGCCCTGAGCCCAATCGAATCCGACTTTCCAACAGCATGCAGGCATTTTGCCAGCGTTTTCGTAGTAAGGAATATACTCACCAAGAGAACTTTCATGTCCAGAATCATCGCGCCTCGTCACCTGTCAGGACCAAGCCGGACATTGAATCCAACCGATCCCGCGACGCCACGATGAACAATAGCTTCATCGCTCAGGCCGACCATTCGGCCTCTCATGCCATCCTGGACACCGGTGCCTCTAGATGTGTAATTGGTTCGGTGAACTTGAATCATTTTCTAGAGGGCTTGCAACCCGACATCCGACAAGCCATCAAGAGAGTTGATAGCAAAGTCAAATTTCGTTTTGGCAACGGTGAACATTTGACCAGCGAGTGCAAAGTTTTGCTGCCACTCCAGTCTGGCGAAGACCAGAAACGCCTGTGGCTGACAGTAGAGGTTGTGCCAGGTTCAACTCCTTTCCTGTTTTCCAAACGAGCATTCAAGCTGCTTGGAGGAGCCTTGGACACACGAAACGATACCTGCCTTTCGCATAGACTAAAACGATCAGTGCACTTGCAGCCAAACAAGTCAGGTTTGTATCTCATGAACATTGCTCAACTATGCAGTCCTCCAGAGAAAGAAGGTCAGGTTTTTGCACAAGATTTCATTGGTCTCAGCACTTCCGATCGTTTCGTGAAAGAGTCAAATTCGTTCGATCGTCGATCGTTTTCGATGAGAGCCCAAGAGGACACGAACGTTTGTAGCCGTGTGTTCAAAGAGCTCAAAGACGCTGAACGACCCCGCTTTCGATCGCCTCGATCTTGTGTTGAGAGAGATGCCAACGAGGGCCGAGATGGTGGTGGCGATTCGACAAGTGTCGGAGGTCGTGATCCAAGTCCTTTCCATGCTTCTGCATTGTTCTCTCCAAGTCATGGAGAGCTCTCCGGCAGAGGAGGAACTGCCGATGCCGATGCAAGAAGTCACAGGTCAATTTCAGACCATGTTGGGGGAACTCCAGCACCAGCGCTCGATCCTGGAAACCATGATGGAACAAGTGGTGGTGAAGAAGAATCAAGATTCACCACACTCCGCAGGCAATCCAGGTCCCTCAACTCGACAGCCTCCGTCTCCGAGCAAGGCACCTGGCCTTTCCGAAGCATCCTGGGAAGTTTTGGAAGACGAGGAGATTTTGGCTCAGTCTCTGCACCAAGCCATTCAGCAGCGGCAAAAGCAGGCAGCCATGACAGGGATGCCGACAAGTCGTCCGTCTCAGGCCGCCGCCGCATCATCCAGTCCACCAACGACCTCAGGCCTTTCAGATCCTGTGAACCAAGCTGTACAGATCGAACAGACTCCGATCACGAAGACCCCATTGCCTCCAGCACTGGCCCTCTGGGGCACCAAGGTCATCAACTGGGGCAAAAAGCACAAGGGTCACATGTACAGCAATGTCAGGATCGAAGACCCAGGATATGTTCAATGGCTGATTCAGAGATTCGGAAGCCTGATTCCGGAGCAAAAGGACTACGTATCGTACGTCCGAGCCATGACCACCTGGGATCAGCAAGGTCTTCTCAACCTTCGCGAGATCCTGCCTTGAGCCTGAATGAATTTGAAGAACAGTCACAATGTTTATTGCACAGCATAGCCATTCTGGATGCCATGTTCGAATCTTCGTTTGACAGCGAGGTTCAAAGCATGAAAGAACGCTTGTGTTACCAAACAACAGATGTGACTGAAACTTCAGGTTCAATGGAAGCAGCTGAAACCATCACTCAGGAGATTTTCACACAGGCCCACGTGCTCTCAGCTCCACAACCCCGCATTCATCTCTTAGAGATTTATGCATCGTCTAACAGCCCATTAACCGAACAGGTTAAGTTGTTAGGAGGGTCCGCCATGCGATTCACCATTCAAGATGGTGATTTGTCCACCTGGTCCGGAAAACGAAAACTGTGGAGCATGATTGAGCATTGGCAGCCCGAACATGTGTGGTGTTCTCCTGAATGCGGTCCATGGGGTGGATGGAGTCGGTTCAACCAGCAGAGAAGTCTAACATCCTATGACGATATCATGCAGAAAAGACGAGATCAAGAAAAACACTTGCAGTTGTGTGCCCAAATCTGCAAATACCAGATTCGTCAAGGCCGACACTTTCACTTCGAACATCCCATCGGTTCCGAAGCTTTTGCGACCCCCAGTGGACAGGACATGCAGAAGGCCACTCTTCCAATTCATTTGGACATGTGTGCTTTCGGCCTCAAGGTACCTAATACCCAACTGTTTCTTAGGAAAAGAAGTCACCTGCTGTCCACGTCCAGCTCAATGCAAGATAGACTGCATGATCGTAAGTGTCCTCAGTCTCATCAGCATATTGCAATTGCAGGTTCATATCAGACGTCATCTGGGCCATTGAAACTTGCTTCCTTTTGTGCCACTTATTGTAAGGGGTTTGCATCCAAGGTAGCACAGATTCTCCTCGAGAGTCACGAACCTCCAGTCAACATGAATCGCAGAACCGCGCATGCATTTGCCCGTCAAGATGTCGCTGATGAACCTGAAGCTAAACGACGCCGGACCGACGATGTGTTCCGACCATCAATAACGGTCCCAATACGTACAGAAGCCTTGAGTTTTGGAGACGAGATTCCGGCCGAACAACATGACACATGGAAACGTATTTTTCAAGAAGCAAACCGCATGGCACCACGAGTGGGTAACAGATCCATAGAATACCAAGACATCACCTTCATTTCTCTTCGGGAAGTTGTTCCGGACATTGATTGGACTCACACGTATGTTTGTCGGGGAACAGAAAGATTCCAGGTTCCCACCGGAGCTCCATCAGGAAAAGAGGCTAGCGTCAGACAAACATGGTGTGTCCATCGACACAAACTCCAAATGCTGGACATGGGGAGAGATGATTGGTCGAATCTCACAAGGTCTCAACGAATCAGGGCGTGCATACCAAGTCGTTTGACAATAACGACATTTGGTAATCCAAAGAGCCAGTCATCCGATCGAGCCGACCATTTGCCCGAACGCAGTGAGCCAGTGTCTGATTCTCAGACAATACCTGCGAGCCCAGCTAAGCCGGCAGAGCCAGAGCCATCGTCCGGAGCAGGGGATTTAGCGGCGCCGCCCACAGGAGATCCATCAGATTCCTCCGTGGCCATAAGAACAAAACATGATCCAACGATTGCAGAGGGTTGGGCTCCTCCACCAACTCCCATCCACGGTCCCGCATTTCGGAGATTGTCCGATACCCAAAAACAAGAATTGGTCAAACTCCACAAGAACCTCGGTCATCCAGACCCCAACAAGCTCAGAGCTCATTTGGTAGCCCAGAAAGCTGATCCAGCCATCATAGAAGCAGCCCTGGAATATTCATGTGATGCTTGCCTTGAGTCTATCCAAGTTAGACATCAAAGACCAGGTAAACTGCATGAACCTACTGATTTCAATGAAGTGGTTGGGATAGACGGTATTTTTTGGAAAGGAAAAGCAGGGTTTCAGGTGTATATCATTCACTGTGTTGATGAATGTTCGACCTTCCAAATGGCCCGCAGAACCAACTCCCGACAGACTGAAGCGACAATCAATCTGTTTCAGGAACTTTGGATGTCTTGGGCGGGCACGCCAGGTCAAATCTATGCCGACCCTGCAGGAGAGTTTACATCACAGACCTGGATGGACTTCCTTCAATCACATGGCATTTCATCTTTCACCTCCTCCGAGGCATGGCAAAAGGGTCGTGTTGAAAGACATGGTCAAGTACTGAAACAGATGCTACACCGTGTTGATCAGGACCGAACAATTCAGGACCTTGAACGTACAACATGACTTAACGGATCTCCCAGATCCATCGACAGGGGAAACAGCACCAAATGATGAAGACACTCGTGTTCTAGGTGAAGCAATTGATCTTGAACCATCCCCCGATCAACCCATGGAATCAATAAATGAAGATAATCCCGATTTAGATAACCCCACGAATGAAGAACCGGCCTTAGTGTTGCATTGCCAGCCATGCAACAACTTACATAAAAGCCCAGAGAAAACTCAGGATTTACTGACCTGCGTGTCCGCAACCATAGGAGAAGACCAGGGGACCTGCCTATTGGCCGAAGATGGATTTTCATACATCCACGATCCCATGATGCCAACCGAAGAACAAGCCTTCCACCTTGAGATTGCACTGACCGAGCGGGACATCGACTTGTGGCTAAAGGAGGCCAATCCAGAGCAATTGGCTCACGTGGCCACGGTCGGAAAGAGGGCACGTGCGGAGGTCAAGCTCCATACCTTGACCAATGCCGAACGACTTTTGTTTGATGCTGCCAAGGATAAAGAGCTGTCTTGCTGGATCCAAACTAACGCAATACGTCCGATCTTGAGACAACGGCTCAACCCCGAGCAGATTCTACAATCCCGATGGGTATTGGTTTGGAAGGAGGGCGACAGCCCATCTCAAAAGCGGGCGAAAGCCCGTCTGGTGGTTTTGGGATGATTTGTGGATCCCAGATTATGCGAGGTGGAGCGTGACGCACCTACTCTCACCCGTGAGGGTCGAACCACGGTTCTTCAGTGCATTGCATCACACCAGTGGAAACTGTCCTCGTTTGATATTACAACCGCGTTTTTGAGGGGGAAAGCAGACTCCAGTAATCCATTGGCCATGGAACCCCCACCAGAACTGCGTAAGAAACTCAAACTTCAGCCCAGTGAAGTCTGTGAACTAGTAGGCAACGCCTACGGACGGGTAGATGCTCCACTCCTCTTCTATAAGGAACTGACCAAACATCTCCACGAATTGGGCTTCCAAACACACCCCCTTGAACCTTGCATGCACTACTTGGTTTCAGGAAACGGCAATCAGTTTCGCCTCCATGGAGTTCTAGGGACCCATGTAGATGATGGTCTAGGTGGAGGAGATCAGATATATCAACAGAAGATTCGAGAGTTAGAGAAAAGACTTCCTTTTGGATCCTTCAAAGAACGAAAATTCAAGTTCACCGGCATCGACTTGGAACAGCAGCCAGACGGCTCCATATCGGCCACGCAAGAAAGCTATGTGCACAGCATTCTTGCCATCGACGTTGGAAAACAACGTCGTGAACAGCTCCAGTCAGCCCTGACTGAAACAGAACTTTCAAAGTTGCGAGGATTAATCGGAAGCCTTCAATATGCCGTAACACACACAAGACCCGATATTGCATCTCGACTAGGAGAAGTTCAATGCCAGATAGCCCAACCAACTGTAGCAACACTCCTACAAGCCAATAAGGTTTTGAGAGAAGCCCAAGAACACAGTGACACTAAGATTTGGTATCGAGCTATTCCAGTAAAAGACATCACACACATCTCTTTTGGAGATGCATCATTTGCCAGTCCTAAGAACATGAATTCTTTCCAGGGTCCCATCATCTGTGCCACGTCAACAGAACTGGATCAAAATCGTCAAGCACCATTGTCACCACTCACCTGGTCTTCTAAGAAGATTTCACGTGTTGTGCGTTCAACATTGTCCGCTGAGGCGTTTTCCATGAGTCAAAGCGTTGACCGACTAAGTTGGGCACGGCTACTTTGGGGTTGTCTCGTAATTGATGAGTTCAACTGGAGAAATCCCTCCCAAGGGTTCAAGCAGATGAACCAAGCCATTATCACCACGGATTGCCGATCCCTTTTTGACTTGGTCACAAGAAATGCAATTCCGTCCTGTGAAGAATTTCGCACGACCTTGGAAGTTTTGTTGATTCGTGAGCGCTGCGCCGAACATGTTCATTTCAGGTGGATTCCTACCACCCTGATGATCGCTGATCCTCTGACCAAAGTAATGGACAGCAGTCTGTTACGAACCACTCTTCGTTCAGGAACCTTTAGGATCTTCGACGAGGCAGCAGTACTCCGATACAATGCCCATCGCAAACAAGCCTTGAAGTGGTTGCAAGAGAACCGATCCTCCTCCCATTAGTTTATTTCATTTGTTTAGATTTCGGGGAGTGTGAAACATGTCATGTCCGAGACATGTCCACCAGATCGAAGGTCGGAGGACTCAGGACTCACGCCGCCTGCCATAAAGGCTCGAGGCGGGACGGGATCGGGAGCCTGTGTCTTGGAGGAAAAGGCACGAGCCATAGCGGCGAGGCGGCTGCTGGTGGACCTTGGGAAGGTCCTGGAGGTTGCGTTGTGTCCTTTGACAGGGTCATTGGTTGTTGCATCTTTCATAGAAGCAGGGCTTCTTTCTTGGAACGGTGTTCCTTTCTTGGTGAGGGTCCGCTACCAATTTCACATTGGTAGCGGAGCCCAGTGCTCCTAAGAGTGGGATCCAGGGCTACATTGCACTTCAACTCCGCCGTTGTGTGGACTTGCTTGTGAACGGACTTCCGGACGTGTCTCGATCTTGCAACGCCCGAATCACCGGACACGACGTGCAGCGTTTAATCTTGCAGACCGCCACTTGTCTTGATAGGTTGGCCTTTTACATTGAGCATTGTGGGACATTGCTTGGTGTTGTGATTTTGACATTGAACCGTGGACAAATCTTGACATTGTACAAGTCGAGCAATTGTACATTGTGGTTGACTGCAGGTTGGACATTGGTCGATTGCGTGCTGAGTTGACTTGACATTGAGCATTGCAGGGCATTGCATTTTTGTTGAGTTGGGTTGATTCACCATGCCTCCTCCGGCTGATGCTTCACACATCCCTGTTCCAGAAGAGGCCACGAGCAGTGTTGCGGGGACAACATCCCTGCCGTGGTCTAGTATCCCAAAGTTCATTCCTGGAACGACCAACGTCCAGGAATATACTCAGAAGATGAAATTCATCGCCAACATTTGGCCAACTGAGCATTTAGAAGCTCTTGCTCCACGTGCCGCCCTGATGGTCGAAGGGGCGGCTTTCCACAAGGTCATGAGGATTCCTGCCGAGAAACTCAAGGTCAAGACGGTCGATGGCGTGATCGCTTTGGTCGAGGCTCTTGGAGGGTCATGGGGAATGACCATGCTGGAGGAGCAATACGATGCTTTTGAACGTGCTCTGTATGGCACCTTGCAGAAGAGCGACGAGTCACATGACTCGTACCTCGCTCGAAGCGAGGTACACTTTGAAGACTTGTTGGCCCGCGGAACGACCTTGGAAGAGATTCGAGCGTATGTTCTCCTTCGGCAGTCGACATTGTCTCCGGAGGATCGCAAGAAGATCGTGCTCGACCAGGGTGGACAGCTCAAGTACGCTGAGGTCACCAAGGCATTTCGCCTTTTGGGCAGCCGATTCTTTCAGGATCTTCAAGGCTCCAAGGTCACAAAGACCAAAGTTTACGATGCTCACCTGACCGAATGTGACAGCGAACCGGCCTTTGCTGCCTCTCAAGAGTTGGAATCCGGGGTATCGCATCCGGCGTCTTCGACGGAAGCACTCACATTCTTGACTGCGTTGGACGATCCAGATCTTGAAGGAGAGTTTATTGAAGCCATGATCGCCCAGAACGATGAGGACGCCCAAGCAGTACAACAGTTCGAACATGAACTGGAAGAGTTTCTGCAGGAC